TTCCAATTTGGTACAGAGGCAATGTGCAGGACACAAACACCACCACCAATTCAATAGCACTTTACACACTCAATTGATCAAAAAAAAATTAGGAAAAGACTAAACCAGGTGGGGTGGTGCATGCCTTTAATCACAGTGCTCAGGAGGCAGAGGCAGAGGCAGGCAGATCTCTGTGAGACTGAAGCCAGCCTGGTCTACACAGTGAGTTCCAGGCCAGCTGGGGTTGCAGGGAGACTCTGTCTCAAAAAAATAAAAAATAAAAAAAAAAGGAAAAGAAATTAAGTAAACAGTCTTACTGGGCATGGTAGGGCACACCTATAATCCCCAGAGGCAGGAAGATTACTGTAAGTCTAAGGCTATCCTGGTCTACATAGCAAGTTCTAGGTTAGAGAGAGAGAAAAAAAAATCCCATTTAAAAGAACATAAAAAGAATTTATACTTAGGAGTTGTATTAGTTACTATTCTGTTTATTCTGTGCCATGGCCACTTATAGATGGGAGAGTTTACTGGGCTTATGGTTCCAGAGGGATAAGAGTCCATCATGGTGGGGAGGCATGGCAGGAGGCAGCCAGAAGTGAAAGCTGAGTGCTTACATCCTCAAGCAGGCACAGGAAATGGAGAGGGCAACTGGCAGTGGATCAGAGCTCTGAACTCTCAAAGCCACCCCCAGTGATACGCTTCCTCCAGCAAGACCCTACCTCCTAAACTTCTGCAAACAGTACCACCAACTGGGGCCAAGTGTTCAAATACTTGGAGCCTATGGGGCCAATACTTCAGCCACCACAGGAGTAAATTTAATCAAAGAACTGAAAAGCCATAGAAAACTATAAAACTTTGATGAACGAAATTGAAAGGGCTGGGGAAATAGCTCAGCTGCTAAAGTACTTGCTACACAAATATAAAGATCTGAGTTCAATCCCCAGAAACCCTGTGATAAAAGCTGAGTGTGGTGGTACACACTTGTAATGCTGGAGAGGCAGAAGCAGGTGGCTCTGTGGGGCTTAATGGCCAGCCAGCCTGGCCTACTTGGCAAAGTCTGAACTAGTGAAAGAGCCTATCTCAAAAAGCAAGGTGGACAGCACCTGAGCAATGAGATTCAAGGTTGCCCCATCCCCACCTGCCCACACACGCAAGGAAAGAAATTAAAGACAAAGGTGGGGGTGGTGGCACAAGCTCATAATCCAAACACAAAGGAAGCAGACCTTTGCTGTGGCACTTCACACACACACACACACACACACACACACACACAAATTAAAATGTAATATTTTTTAGAACAGTCTCTTTGAAAAACAAGGCTGAGAAAATTATCCATATATAGAAGAATGAAATTGGACCCTATCTCACATCATATATAAACATCAATCAGAAATTGGTTAAAGACTTAAACATACCATCCAAACTTCCGAAACTACAAAAAAAAAGAGGTGAAAAGTTCTATGCACTATCTGGGCAATAACTTATTCGCTAGGATGTCCACAATACAGGTAATAAAAGCCAAAACCAGACAAGCAGGACAGTAAAAAAAAAAAGAATAAATTACACACTGAGAGAAAATGTTTGCAAACCATACAAGTGATTTTAAAAATGCTATTTAAATCTAAATATATGAAGGAGGACTGGTGAGATGACTCGGTGGGTAAAGGTGCTCGCTGCCAAGCCTGAAGACTTGAGTTCAATCCCTGGAACCCACATGGTAGGAGGAGAGAACCAACTCCCAAAAGTTGTCCACTGAACTACACATGAGTGCCATAGCATGTACAAACGTGCGCACGCACGCACACACACACACACACACACACACACACACACACAAAGACACAAACTGAATGTATGATATATAGAAGTAAGCTGCAAGAAGCAACCTAATTTTAGAAATGGGAAAAACACCTGATTGGTGTTTCTCAAAAGATATTGGGGAAATGCAAATTAAATCACAGTAAAATATTACCTCAAATGTGTCAGAGTGGCTATGATAATAAAGACAAAAGATATGGGGTTGGAGAGATGGCTCAGCAGTTAAGAGCACTAGCTAGCTGCTCTTCCAGAGGACCCAGGTTCAGTTCCCAGCACCCACATGGCGGATAACAACTGTCCATACCTCCAGTCCTAGAGAATCCAAAAACCTTTTTCTGACCTTCGTGGGTATTGCTCAACACGGGCGCACTTACACACATGCAGGCAATACACTCATACACAGAAAATAAAATTAATAAAATATTTTTTTAAAGGAATTAAAATCTTAAAAAAAAAAAGACTAAAGATAAATGTTGGAATGGAGAAAAGGGAACTCCGGTACAATGGGAATATAAATTAGCATAGCCATTTTGGAAAACCATATGTATGGGCGTGCGGGTTTCCCAGAGCGCCAGCTGCTGGGCGTGGCACCAGTCTCCCTCGGGCCGCTGGGGGGACCTGGGGCAGGTCGCGCACCACGTCTGCTGAGACTCTCTGCTACCGGACCGGGCCTGGCGGCTCTCGAGGACCGCTGTCAGCTACCCGGTCGGGTTCCGTCCCAATCTACAGAGCACTCCCTCTGGGTTCGAGACCCGTCAGCTGCCGGTCACGAGGGGAGGGGCGGGCCGCCGAAAGCAGGGTCTTCGGTGAGTCATGACCGAAGGATAGCCCCCCCCCATTTAGTGTTACAGCTTCAGACAAGTGACTCAGCTCAGATCTCAGTGATTCAGCTCCAGGTTTATTGGGGTAAAACAAGGATTATTTATAGTGTGGAGACAGTAGAAAAAGCCTTAGCTGATAGGTGCTCCTGGAATGCTTCATTTACATAGGGCGGTGGGCTTCTATCAGGCTATCAGACAATGCCTGATTAAGACCTGGTAGTTTCTGTGCCAGAGGGCATGTATCTGTGACGGGCATTTCAAAAGTAAGTCAGGGAGGAGAGCAGAAGGCGCCCGGCTGAGAAGGGGAGTCTCCCCATTTGCTCCGAGCCGGCTTGCAGCTATCCCGACATGGGGAGACTGCTACCCTAAACAGCAGGGGTCCCCAACACATATGGAAATCCCTTAAAAAACTAAAAAGAGAATCATTATAGAACCTAACAAGCCCTTCCTGGACATACAGTTATAAAGGAACTGAAGGTCCGTGTGTGGAAGAGGCATCCATACCTGAATAATAAATTTGGCAGTATCCACAATAGGAAAGACAGGGAGGCAACCTCGGAGGTCAGCAACAGAGGAAAAAGGAAAATGTGTGTGCTTGCAATGGAGCCGTGAAAGAGGAATTCTATAATTTGAAACAATCCAAATGACCCTATTAAAAAAGCGAAATGAGATAAGACAGAGCAGGACAAAAGGACATTATCTCACATGTGAAATATAAAAAAGTGGAATTCACAGAAGCAGAGGGCAGAACAGTGGTTGCCAGAGGCTGGGTGTGGGGGCACAATGGGGTGAGATAGAGTTCCAGCTAGGAGTAAGTTTTACTGCTCTGTGGCATAGCCTGGTACCCACCATTGATAAAGCTGTACTGTTATGTTTAGAAATTGTAAAATCAGGGACTGAAGAGATGGCTCAGAGGTTAAGAGCACTGATTGCTCTTGCAGAGGACCAAGGTTCGATTCCCAGCACCCACATGGTGGCTACAAACCGTCCTTAACTCTAGTTCCAGGGGAATCCAACACCCTCTTCTGACCTCTACAGCATTGCATGACATGGGTGCACTCGCATACATACTCATAAACATGAAAATAAAAATAATAGATATATTTTTTTAAAGAAGAAGAAGAAATTGTGAACTATCAAGGTTCTTACCACAAAAAAACAGGTGATGTGATAGAAGTGCTGACAGCCTGATTTAACCTTTCTATGGCATCTATCAAAACACCCCATTCACCCCAGAAATGTGCACAATTATCACTTGTTGATTGAAATGCTGAAGCTTTAAGTCAGGGAAGAGAATGCATGGTGATTATATTCAAAGGATCTGCAAAAAAATGTTTACAAAACTTCAATAAAGACTCTGCAGAGCTGGAGAGATGGCTCAGTGGTTAAGAGTACTGGCTGCTCTTGCAGAGGACCTAGTTTAGGTTTCCAGTACCCACATGGTGGCTAATAACCATCTATAACTCCAGTTCCAAGGGATCCAACACCTCCATGTGCATTGCAGGACACGGGTGCACTTACGAATGCAAAACACTCATACACATAAACTAAAAATAATACTATATATTATATATAATACCATATATATAAACTCTGACACCTTTGAGCTACACAAATGTGATCTATACTGCGGTCCCCGGCTGTTTATACTGACCGGCTCCACTGCCTGCTCCAGTCAAGGTTACTAGCCACCCTGAGCTGGCTAATGGTATGGCCTCTGACCCAGCAGATCACTTCTCTGGCAAAGGCGTGAAGCTTGCCCAGCTTGCAGGCCCCAGCCTCTCCGGGTTGACCCCCCCACCCCGCCCCACTCCCCGTCTCGGGAGCTGACACTGATCCCGGGTCTTCCCAGGGCCACAGTCTCACCCCCACTGCTCCTCTGGCACCTGCCCCACTCCAGCGAGCCCGCTCCTCCCAGCTGCCCAGACACGTGGCTTGGCCTTGGCCTTTCCCCTCCCCGCCGCCCACTGTCGGCAAATCCTGCAGGCTCTCGCATGCACCCGGGTGCGATCCGACCCCTCTTCCCACCCCACCACTACAGCGCGGGCCCTGTCACCTTGGCCACCGTGCCCTTCCTCTGGTCACTGTCTTCCGGGGCCCACCCTCGGCCTCCGTCCCTCCACGGCCCCAGGCCCGGGTCCCCCGCACGTGCAGCTGCAGGAGCGCTCCCGGGGTCCTCGGGGGGCGGGGGGACCGCCTGGGTCCCCACCATGGCCTGCGGCCCAGCTGCAACCTCCAGTCCGCGGAGTCGCCCTGCGCCCCCTCATCACTCACCCCGCCACCCACCACGTCCTGGGCCTCTCCGCGGCTGGCCTCGCCGAGCATGCGTGAGGTGGGGCGCGGGGAGCCGGGCTCAGCGGAGACCCCCGGTGGGACACGCACCTGCAGGCGCCGGGCAGAGCGGATGGCGCGGGCTGGGTAGGCCTCGGGTCAGTTCTGGGTCCAGCCCCGGCTGTAGCGCCCCTGCCGGAGGCCGAGTGCATGGCCAGACCGGCCGGTTCCCTCTCGGTCTGGTGCGGGGCGAGCCATTGCTCCTCTGCTTCGCTTTCTTTGGAGGTCGAGGGCGAGGGCGCGGCGACTTGCTTCGTATCTGTGACCTTACGAGAGTCACACCACTGCCCAGATGTGTCGTCAACTACCACCGCTCGGCTGCCGCCCTGAGCACACACAGGGATAGCACAAATCTGCATCGTTTCCCCTGAAATTCTATGGCAAACGGTGGCGAGTTGTTTCGCAGGCTAACCCAAACCTCTCCAAACCAATAGAGAGGTTGCAGTTAACGATTGCTGGTGCGGGGGTCTAAGGGCTACTTTCATTTTATTTGTTTGTTTGTTTGTTTATTTATTTATTTGGTCTTTTTGAGACAGGGTCTCCCAGCTGGCCTGGAACTCACTATGTAGACCAGGTTGGCCTTGAACTCACAGAGATCCGCCTGCCTCTGCCTCCCGAGTGCTGGGATTAAAGGCGTGAGCCACCACGCTTTACGTGTATGAGTGTATTGCCGGCATGTATATAAGTGCACCCGTGCTGTGCAAAGTTTGACCTCCAGATTCCCCTGGAACTAGAGTTACAGCTGTTAACTGCCATGTAGGTGCTGGGAATCAAACCCGGACCAGTGCACTTGACCGCGGAGCCATCTCTCCAGCTCTGGGGCGCTTATAGAATGGAGTTGGTTATGGGCCTGCTAGTGATGCTAGTGGACCAGAAAGGGAAGTGGGCTGAAATTTTGGGAGCAGAACATTTCACATTCATCTTTCTCTTCCCCTAACTTAAATGTAAAACATTCCACTGAGTAGTTAGACATTCGGCCCACTTTGAAGCCCTCCCCTTTAATTATTTTTATTTTATGTGTATGTGTGTAGTGCCTGCATGTGTGTAAATGCACCTGTGTTGTGCAATGCCCTCGGAGGTCAGAAGAGGACATCAGATCCCTTGGAACTGGAGTTATGGACGGTTGTTAGCCACCATGTGGGTGCTGGGAACCAAATGGGGTCCTCTGCAAAAGCATCTTGTGCTTTTAAATGCTGATCCATCTCTCCAGCCCCTGAACCCCTCTCTTACTCCTGTATGGAGAAAGAAAATATGGTAAGCCTTTGACCCCAGCTCTACTCCTTTCTCTAATGTGTATATGGTGTTTACCTTGTGCCAGATACTTCTAAGGATCTCACATGGGATGACTGATATAAATCTTTCCCACCACCTGAGGAGATGGATAATGTCATCCCCTCACTTTGCAGGTGACAAAATTGAGGCCCAGAGAACCAAGCAACTGACCAAAGCACAAGGTTGTTAATGAATAGATTTGAGAATTGGACATAAGTGTGGCAGGAGAGTAGGGTGCAGAAAAGAGAGGCATCAGGGTTCATATGAAAGTAGCCAGTTGGCAAAAACAGAATCCCCCCGCCCCACACACACACCAATGCTACATATAACAGAACAGGTAAAAGGGAGATCCTGGAGAGAGAGGGTAGTGTGTATACATATGGCCCACAAAGGCTCACCATTCTAGTGGCTGGGAGGTATTAGAGCTTCTACCCTTTCCCAGCTCTGTAGCCTGTTGGAAAGGTTCACTTTTTAGTAAACTGTCTCTATTCCTATCACTACCCTCTTGTCCCTTGTCTTTGTTCTGAGACACAAGAATCTGGAAATGTCAACAGGTGCCCTCTGTAACATAAGTGCCTAAGTTTCAGAGATAAGGGTCCAAGCCACCCATATGCCACATCTCCGAGTATTGTATCCCATTGTTTTGTTTTGTTGTTTTTTCAGGATGCTGAGCCCAGGTCCTTGCACATGTTAGGCAAGCGCTCTTCCGCTGAGCTGCATCTCCAGCTCTTCTGTTGCTTTTCATGCTTGTATTAACCACCATGTGCTAATCTTTTGCTATCAGATACTCAGGGGTGGAGGGAAGAGATAGCATCTTATTGCAATCATCCACAGGGGCAATATGTCATCCCCCAAGGCCCATAGGTTCTGCTGTTGCTGTGGCATTGTGTTCCATCAAAGTCAAAGAATCTCCTGTCATAGCCCCCACTGCAACAACCACCCCCACCTCTCTCCTAATCTTAGAAAGGCCACCTTTCCCCAATCTTACCCCTCAAGAGATGTTCCTTGGTGTTTTAGAACCAGAAAACAGTGGATATGGTGAGATTTTCCAGGCCCTGGTTTTATTCAGGTAGATCTTGAACTTTGTCATCCCACCCCATGATGGATACCACAAGGGTGAAAGTGCCACCAAAAGGGGCCTATCTGGTGTGCTGGGAGAAGAATGAGGAAGAAGCTCTCAAGTGGAAAGAGCAAGGGCCGCAGACCCCCAAGAAGCAACTCATCCTAAGGGAAGACAGAAGGCACACTGAGCAGTTGAGCAAGAATCAGCGACGGGTCTAAGATTTGAGGGGGAACAGTGGTTCTAGGAACTGTACAGTTGCCATTACTGAGCTTGCTCCTTAAAAACACTCTAAAGTAAGAGTACTGATACAAGATTAAAGCATTTGGCTCATTAAACTCTGTAATGCTTGGTGGCTAAGGCACTCTCCCAGGGCCTCTAGAGTGTGAGCCAAACAGAGTTGGATTCACAAGTCATTACTATCACTCAGAAGAGATGGAGGACAATGGCCCCCCCACAGACTGCTGAGCAGGGGTTGAAGAATGGCACAGGAGGACTTGAAGATGCTCTCTGCCCTCTTCCCTGGAAAAATAACATAAAAACAAAACCTAGGATACTTGATACTATATTATACAGGTATGGGCTATTGGACTAGCAAACAGTAAAGTGGTAAAGTGACCTCCTTTCTTCCCTCAGATGATGAGATTTGGGCACAGTCTGGTTCTAGAAGAGTTGCAGTCTAATTGATCATGGCAAGCAACAGTAACCAACACTGCTGACAGGCTGGTTTAAGTAGAAATGAGAATTGTTAAGAAGATACTAGATAACAACCGTATTCACACCCTTCCCCAAGTGGAAGCAACTTGGATTGGTTAGGCTTCTCTAGAGGACCAGAGCTGATAGAATGAATGTATATTAAAAGGGAATTTGTTAGATTGGCTTAAATGATACAGTCTGGGTAGTCCAACAATGGCTGTCTTCACCCGGAGGCTGCTAAGTCCACAAGCCTGCATGCTTCAGCAGTCCCAACCCAAGCTGAATGCCTGGAGGACTCCTGGAGAGCCACTGGTCTTCGGTCCACAGTGGAAGCCAGAAGAAGCTGGGAAGGTAGGTGCGGCAGCAGAAGGAACAAGGCAGGTGGATTCGAAATGGTAGATGTACTTGTAAGCAAGGTGAACTCTTCGACAAGATGTGAAGACAATGAGGCGAACACCAAAAACGTCTCCCTCAGACCTTCTTTTACCTCGACTGACACCAAAACATCCACGTTTGGGATGGCTTCCCACTTCAAATAACATGATCAAGAAAATCCCTCACAGATGTGCCCAGTAGCTTCCTCTGGTTGATTTCAGTTAAGTTGACAACCAAGATTATCTATTACACAACTTAAATGTCCCTCAGTGAATAGTGGATGGATGGACAAACTATGGTATTAACAACTATTTAATAAAATAGAGTGAACTATTGATACATGTAGCAACTTGGATGTGTCTGAGAGACATTGTGCTTAGAGTTCACCACACACAAAAGTCTAACTTGTGTAATTCTACTAAAACATTCTAGAAAAGACAGAACTCTGAAGATGGGGAACAGATTAATGCTTATCTTGTATTTAGGGGTTGGCAAGGATGTGACTGTATGTAGTGAAAAGTTCTTTGGGGAGCTGAGAATTTTTCTGTAAAATTGTGTTCGAAAATGTATGCATGTATCAAAACTCATAAACAGAGGCAATGAGATGGCTCTTTGGGTTAAGGCACTTGATGCCAAGCCTAATGACTTGAGTTAGGTCCATGGGACCCACATCATAGAAGGAGAAGACAGAATCCTGCAAGTTATCTTCTGACCTCCACATGTTCAATGTGATGTGTACATGCAGGCAGGCGTGCATGCACATACACACACACACACATAAATAAATGTAATAAAAACTTTTAAATAAAAAAGAACTTAAACATCATTAAAAACAGAACAAACTGTTACTTGATTATAGAAATAGTTGAATAACTACAGATTTACAAAATTCCAGAGGTGTTTAACTGTAGTATGTGAGTCTTTTTTAAATATTTTATTATTTTTATTTTATGTGTATGAATGTATTGCCTGCATGTATGTGAGTGTACCCGTGTCATACAATGCCACGGAGGACAGAAGAGGGCTTCGGATTCCTCTGGAACTGTAGTTAAGGATGGTTTGTAGCTGCCGTGTGGGTGCTAGGACTCGAACCCGGGTCCTCTGCAAGAGCAGTCAGTGCTCTTAACCACTGAGCCATCTCTCCAGCCCCAGTATGTGAGTTTTATAGTAAGTAAATTATACCAGGAAGGGCAGGAGATATGGAAGTAGGGGATGGTGAAGAGCACGCATTAGATCATTGTTTCTGTATTGTACACACACACACACACACACACACACACACACACACACACGAATTACAAGCATTCAGCACCACACCCAGCTTTTTTATGTGGGATTTGGGCATCAGACTGGGGTCCTTCTGCTTGTGTGGCAAGCAACTTACAGACTGTGATGGTTTGAATGAGAACCATCCCCCACACTTGATCAAATGACCCTGTTGGTGATGTGGTTTGGGAAGGTTTTAGGAGGTATGGCCTTGCTGGAGGAAGTATGTCACCGGGGGCAGGCTTTGAGCATTTATAACTTCACCCCACTACAAATCCTCGCTCACTTTGCTTCCTGTGTGTGCTTGAAGACGTGAGCACTCAGCTTCCCGCTCTGGCCGTCTCTTGCCCCGCCTCCATTATGGAACGATAAGCCAAAAGAAACTATTTGTTCTGTAAGTTGGATGGGTCATGGTGTTTTATCACAGCAACAGAAAAGTAACTAATACACTGACTCAGCTACCTCCTGGCTCTTCGTTGCTTCTATCTTTGTATGTGTTGGAAATGTATATATTAAA